CCTTTTCTGTCTCCCGCAGCAGCAATCTGAGGAGGACACTCCCGCCTCCTACCAGAAGATTGAGGCGTCGTGAAAAAGTTCTTGCCGCGGCTGTTTGCGCATTTAATTTTCTGATCTACGTTGGCCGCCATTGCGCGCTGATGGTTTTTGTTTTCCGCCCTTACTAGGAGCACGCGCAAAAAAGTATATGAAAGGCTTGGGAATTGGGTGTAGGCACCTGGGGTGCTTCCCGCGAGCCTTAGGGCAGCCAGGCTCGCGCTGTGAGTAAAGCAAACGCCGTGCCTGTGCAAGGGCGGCTTTCTCACAGTGGTAAACTCGGTGTGTAAAAAAAGCTGGCGAGAGCATTCAGCTGCCCTCTACTTCCAGGTACAGTTAAGTATTTAGACACCATATAAAAGCACGCACATTTTTGTCAAAGCTGCTACGTACGCACTAAGATTTGTATTCTCCAAGAGCCACGCCGTCCTTATCAACCTTAGCTGTCTTAGTAGTGGGGAATTTTTTACTCTCCTGTGTCCAGCACCATGAGACAACATCAGCTTGTGCAGTATTATTTATTTAAAAATGTAAAAGGGGTGTAAGCATATACGTGCGCTTTCTGCATTCGAGCCATCCATTCTGAGGTTTATCATTTGGAAAGCCAGTGCGTGTGTGAAGATAACAAGAGCTTACAAAAATGGAGAGAAATGCACATAATGCACTAAAAGTATGGATACAACTAAGGGAATAAGTTCATATTTTATTCTAGTTTCATGTATGTTTATAGCCCTATCAAATTACAGTAGATTAGGTTGCATGTCATATGCTGCTAAACTACTTCTAATATAAATTCATTTCCAAAACAACTTGACTTTAAGTCATTTTCCTGCTGGGAGCATTCCTAACATTGTTTTTATGAATAGCATTTATACCATATACATGTTGATGATGCAAGATACAAATAGATTGATAAACAGTCCAAATGCCTATGCATAAATAATAGAAATAAAATAATAGAATAAATGAGGAGACAAAAATAAAGACAAAAGGGAAAGAAAATGAATGTGGAGAAAAGATTAATAATATTGGAGAGAGCTTTTTATTATATGTCTCGTAAGCCTTGCTAGCTGCTGAAAAGCTGTTCTGTTTGTCAAAGAATAGATGGATGGAGAAAACTGTTCACTGTAGTTATTTTCTTTAATCCTTTCTGTTTATTTTTTTATCTTTGGTCTCTGAACATTGTGGCTGTGTTTTTTCTGCAAATTTGAAAATGAGATGGGAGGAGATGGGATTTTATTCTACGTGTTTTAATCTGGATTTTATCTCCACTTTAAATTCTGTGCCAGTTACCCACACTAGACCACCTTTATAGTCCTTTTTTTTAAAACAAAAAAGAAGTAATTGTGTGTTTTTGTTCTTTAAGCAGTTCTGAATGGATCAGTTCCAGGTGTCTGTGCAACTTGCCACATTCATGCTACATGTCATCAAACTGAAGGAAAAAGTGTCTGCATCTGTAACTATGGATTTGTAGGCAATGGAAGAACCCATTGTCAAGGTAGGCTGCCTGTTTGTAAAATGGCAAGAAACTGTGTACATTCCTAAAATGCTCTTTCTCAAGTAATGTTACTGAATTCTTCAGAACACGGTAAGAGCTTTGCCATTTCCTGGCAGAATTTCCAAAACCTAGAATATGTGTGGATTGTTTTTTCCTTTTTTTTTTTAAACAGCTAGCCATGAGCTGTACTTTACTTGTACTTGATGTAAGTATTGTTTTGTACTTAGCTGCTTAACTATTTTATTCAGTTTCTGCTATGTAATGAAGGATTTAAATTAATTTTGTCTTAGAAAATGTAGGCTTTTGTCAAACACTTTCTAAATATAATGTATTGGAATGATTTATTTAATATTTTTTTATCCTAGTTTCAGAAAAAAAAAATTAAATATGGTGGGCTTCAGTTTATTATTGTTCTCAACCTATGTATCATTGAACTGAAAACTAGTCAAAAAAATTGACAGTTAAAATTAGTGCTTTTTTGCTGATTTTACTAGTTATCTCAGATTACTGGGTAACTAAAAATTAATTCCATAAGTTGAAGGTCTGTTCTTAATAATGCATATGCAATATGCAATTCTTAATAGGCATATATGCACAGATTTCTTAATTGCAAGTATCTGTTACCTGGCAAGTGTTCTTCAGTGTTGTTTTCTTACTGTAGCTGATAGTGTCCTTTTAATACAATCTTATACATGAAAAATCAATATGTGAATCAAAGGATGATGTCAAATGCTGTATGCAACAGCTTACCACTGCTTAAAGGGGCAGGTCCTGCACCTCTGATCTCTTCCACTGCCATCTCTTCCCCTTCCTTCACAAGCAGTGGCAGCCACTGGGCCCTGCACAGAGTTCAGTTATCACATTATTGTGGGAGAAGACGAGCTGCATGTTTTGCCATGTTAATTCCCTGTCAGTGGAGTGAGTTGGGTAAGATCACCACAAGCTCCATCAGGTGCTGCAGCCGGAGCAGGGCTCTCTGGTTTCAACAGCTCTTAGATCAACTCAAGCTGTGTCATGAAACTTTACTTGCAATTTCATCCAGGGACAGCAACCTCTGTTGATCTAAATACTCCAGCTTACTAGCGGTGTTTACATCCCAAATAATTTAGAAAGAAAAACAGTAGCAGGAAGTCTGGTTACACAAGAATGAGTGAGGAAGGAAGGATATTCCACTTTTCTTAATCTGCTTCTGATGTGTTTTGAATGTGCTGACAGATAAAGATGAATGCCAGATTGGAGCCAGCAAGATCTGTGGAAATCATACACTGTGTCATAATACACACGGAAGTTTTTACTGTGTTTGCCTTGATGGATACCGAGCCTCCAACAACGACAAGACATTTATTCCCAATGATGGCACGAACTGTACAGGTAGACATCACAAAGAATCTTGACCATGAGGAGTCCAGAACTTAATTTTCTACTGCACAAATCTTTTTTTTTTCCTGTCACTTTAGAACTTAGTTTCTGAAACTGTGTTGTGGTTTAACCCCAGCCAGCAACTAAGCACCACGCAGCTGCTCGATCATTCTCCCTGCCCTAGTGGGATGGGGGAGAGAATTGGAGGAGCAAGAGTGAGAAAACTCCTGGGTTGAGATAAGAACAGTTCAATAATTGAAATAAAATAAAGTAAAACAGTAATAATAATAACAACAATATAGTAATAATTGTAATAATACTACACAAAGCAAGTGATGCACAATGCAATTGCTCACCACCCACCAACCGATACCCAGACAGTTCCTGAGCAGCGATTGCTCCCCCCTAGCCACCTCCCCCCCAGTTTCTATACTGAGCATGACATCACATGGTATGGAATAGCCTTTTGGTCAGTTTGGATCAACTGTCCTGGCTGTGCCCCCTCCCAGTTTCTTGTGCACCTGGCAGAGCATGGGAAGCTGAAAAGTCCTTGACTAGCTTAAGCAGTACTTAGCAACAACTGAAACATCAGTGTGTTATCAGCATTCTTCTCATACTAAATCCAAACCACAGCACTATGCCCGCTACTAGGAAGAAAATTAACTCTACCCCAGCCAAAACCGGGACAAACTGTATCGGAGTACTTTCTGCTGTGGATGCAAACACTTAACTTGACATCTACGTTCTAATAGCTATGCATTAGTTCCGTTTTGCATTCTTTGCTGTGTTACAAATCATTGCTCACAGTCAAGCAATAATCTTTCCAGAAAAAGAAGCTAGATTAAAGAAAATAAGATGCTACTTACCTTTCCCCCAGAATGTCATATTTGTGTTAAGTGTAGAAGATTAGCCAGTTCCTTGTTACAGTAATGAAGTGTTGTAACTGATTAAGGTATTTGCAGATATGGGATTTTTCTGGGATTTTTTGTAGCAGGAGATAACATTGGAAACTATTTGTCAGGTAAAACAGGAACGCTTTAAAGATAGCTAGCTACAAACTTCAGAGTCTCCTCCTTCTGGATGCTTGAACACCAGGCAACGATAAGCTCCTTCGTTTCCCAGAGAAGCCATCGGAAGCTAATTAGAACCCTTCATGGAATGCTGTATTTGTTTTAAGCCTGGGTCCTACATTAATTAATTTAAAAAAAAAAAATCCTATTACCAAGTGCATGTTTTTTTCTCTGAATTTTTAGATATAGATGAGTGTGAGGAGTCTGGGCTGTGTGGTCGCAATGCAAGATGCGTGAATACCGAAGGAAGCTACAAGTGTTACTGCAATGATGGTTATAAATTAGAAAATGGAGAGCATTCTTTTCATCCAGATGGGAACATAGTTTCATGCAAAGGTGAGAGTCTTTGGGTGCTGGTTTTACTAGCATATAAAGTCAGTACTTACATGATGCTGTAGTACCTGCTCTGACCTGTGCTTTTAAGCCTGCAGGGCAGAAGCCCTCTCTGCAGACTTTGCCTGCAGTATGATTTTTTCCTTCTTGGGTTCAGTTCGTGTCAGTGATGTCTGGATGGCAGAGTCTACACCAGATATGATTTCTGCAGGCTCGCAGCAGTGGTTCAGGTGTGCAGGATCAGAGAAGCTTAATAATGCCATGAAGGTGATGTAGTTAGTTTCTGAATAGGAAGTAAGTGTGGTATCATCCACTTGCTTGTATAATCACAGTGGATGAAGGGGAAGGGAAGAGAGGATAAATAGCTTGTAAGAGAGGTCAGATGAATGAAACAAGCCTAGGGGAGAGGAATAATAAAATAATAGTTTAGCTATTTATTACATACTGTGCCACCTGCATAAATAAACCGTTCTGTTTATCTTGCCATTAAAAAAAATCAGTTTGAAACCATTCCTCCTTTCCTCTCTAGTGTATGTTTTCACAGATGCAAAATGCTAGCAGTGTAAGCTGTAGCTGTCAGAGAATGTAATGAACCCAGGCATCCCAGGTGGAAGGAACTGCCTTGATTATATCCAGTTCTCATTTCTGAATTATTGCAAGAACCATCAGTAAAGCTCACTGCATGTAGTTCGTCCAGTGTTTCCTACTGGAGTGCTCTGCTTCATTTTGCCAGAATTGCTGATAACCCTGCTTATCTCGGTGACTTCCCCCTCTGCATGCTGTGGTGAAGTGGTGTGTCTGTACTGACTGTGTCGCTTGCGGAGTCGGACAGGGGAGGCCTGTCAAGCAGCACTGCTGAAGGAGTGTAGCTTTTGTATGCAGGCTGGTTCAGTGAGATGGAGGAATTGAGGGGCAGACCATTTCATTTCAGCCTGTCTGCAGTGCTTCACCTTTCCCATGCACAGGGAAATAAAGCTCTGCATTGGGGCCTGAAATTTTCTCTGGTTGAAGGATCATTCAGCCATTGCTGTAACGAGACTGGCACACGCAAAGCATGATCGCACTGAAGTATCTCCTTTTTGCTGTTGTGAATGGCTCCAGCTATATGTGAGTAGAGATGTAGCTCAGTACCTCCAACTGTGGCCAGTACAACTCTTCAGCACTAATCTTCTACCCCTTAGGCAACCCCTCAGATTCATCAGATTGGGTGTATTTTATGATGTGACCATCCAGTTCAACTCATCTTAAACTGGTCATGTGATTTTTGTGCTGTGAGATCTTTTAACCCAGTCTCTTTGCAGAAATTGGATGTGGGTCCCCTCCTGAAATGAAGCACGGCTACATTGTGGGGAACTACAGCTTGCTACTAGGAAGTGCGGTTCACTATGAATGTAAAGAAGGGTTTTACAGCAACGAGGGAAAGTTCTCATATTGCACTGCAAATCAAACTTGGGAACCTGCCACTTTAAGCTGTGAAGGTGAAAAGACTCTTAGATCTTTCTTAAATTCTTCATTAAGGGGATGTATGCATGGGGAAGTGTGTTTGTGAAAGACAGTAGACTGTTTCCTCAATCCGAAGGATGATTTTTCAAGATCTGGCTGTTTAAAAAAAAAAAAAAGGACAGGTTATAAAATTGTACCACCTCTTCTTGTTAGTGTTATGACATGTTTGACGCTGGTCCTTGCATTTTTACAGACGCTGCAATGTGTCCTGTGCCTGTGAACCAGGGCCTAGAAAACAACTAGATTTCTGTAGCATTGCATGGGAAAGGCCACTGAGTTGGAAGGCATCAGTGACCTTTCATGAAAAGAACAATTGTTCTGACAGCTTGTGAAGTTTTTCCCTAAGGTTGACTGCAGATGCAAAAGAGAGGCATCATAACCACCGCTCATCTCTGGACAGTGTTCACTATTTTAAGAGCATTTGTGCATGAGCAAACACTTTCACATCTCTGAAGTGTAAAGGTTCCCATGAGCATCTTTAAAACTTCCACTTGCTTGGGTGTTCTAATTGCCCATTCTGTTGAAATATTACTGCTTACATGCAGGATTTTTGTGTTCCTGTGAGTGGTTAGAAAGTCTGTATATTTAAATGACACTTGAAGTGCTAGATAACAGAAGCTGCACTGTGTACAGCAGTGCTACAGGGGAGAATTGTCATCCTGAAAATTATCACTTAGTGAGGAGAGCTCCTTCTCTCAAAATACAAAAGCCCGATTGGTTTCTAATTCTTTCCTTTTTTTTTTTTAACTTCTTTGAGAGTGGATAGAAATGTAATGTTTGCATGTGTGTCTACTGAAGTGAATAAATTAGAATAAGGATGCTAAATCAGCGTGGTTGGGAAAAGTGAAATATTAAATACCACTAGAAAATTCATAAGAAATAAAAGATAAACCAATTTAATACTAAATTATTGGCATAAAAAATAAAACAATTGAAATAATATTTTTCCCCAAAAATAAATAAAGGACAATGAATTTGAAAACAAAAAGGGGAGCCCAAGGTCTCAAGACGTCCCTAAAGATATCTTGTGGAATGCAGTCCTTGTGAGTTGTTGGTACATTTGTTTTGTATTAATATTTTTCAGTGATTGCTTTTTCATGTGATTTTTTTTTAATTTCTACAATCAAACAGTAGGTCAGGTTGGAGTTTCTGAGCACATCTCTCATGGTGAATTGAAATAAAATACATCAAACACCAAGAAACAGCCCATGAGTCTGAAATGACAAGCTTATTTCCCCTTTGTATTGCAAGCTCTTTTCCTGGACTTTGGTTAGGACTTCTCTTTTTGTAAAACCAGCAAGTCTGGGTTTTTTTTTTTCATTATTGGTAAAGGCAGCTTTGAATAATTCTTTACACTCTCAGAGTTTCCCTGGTAAGTCTTTGTTGCTAATTTAAGAATTTCTCTTGGCCAGGTGTAATGTCTTCTTTTTCAGGAAAATCAGTAAGTTTGTCTTTTGTCTTCCTTCCTGTGGTAATTTAGGAGTTTATTTTATATAGTCACAATGGAACTGGCCAATGAAGGTAGGTCAAACTTGGTAAGATGTGTGACCTAACATGAGGATACTGTAAGTGGAGCAGATCCCTCTTTTTAATTTAAATGTAAGTGTATGGATGTAACGTGTCTTTGAAGATTATAGCTTCCTTTGAATATTAATAAAAGAATTGTCTTGAGAGGAAGAGTCAGATAGTTTAATGGGAAGATGTGATGTACGTGAAGAGGTGTAGTTAAACTGTTGAATGTGAGTGTTGTGTCATGCTAACATGAAAGCCTTTTAGATGGCTGCTTATCTTAGAAAATGGACAGGATATCAAACATTGTTTTTTTGTGCTACTAGGCTTCTTCATTTTATGCATTTGTAAATGACAACTTGGCATGTTTGTGAATAGAGCAACTGTTACAATGCGTTTTGAACACCACATAGACTCTTGCTTTAACAGGAAGCTTTTGTATTTTATGTTGTAACCTTTTCTATGGTTTTGCATTTCTCTGGTCCTTGTGCACTTTGTAAAATTTTCCTTCCTAAAGGCAGTTTCTGCTCATCTGCCTCCCTCTGACTGTTGCTCACTGCAAATGGTAGAGAACCAGTTTGGCACCTGCAACTGGGTTTGTAAAAGCAGGAGAATCTTAAAGATGAAAAAAACCCAGGACATCTTCTGTATACTAACAGCTAGGCTGAGGAAGAAGTCACAGATTTAGCATGCCATATTGAGAGAAAGGCAGAAAGAAGGAATTTTATATGGAAGCAGCTCTGGACTAGCTACAGCACTCAGTCACAGTGGGGATGTCACAGAGGATGTGAGGAAGTGTTGGATTACCACAGGAGAAGAGGGTTAGTTGATAATGATGAAAGAAATACTCATGGGAGTGCAGCTGTCATTACTTCTGCTGCTTGACTAACAAGTTTACCTTTCTCTTTCTTTCTCTCCATAGGTGTGGATTGTGGGGTGCCACCTACTGTTTTAAATGCACATCCAGCATCTGTAAGTGGGACCACGTACGGAAGTGAAGTTACTTACAACTGCGTTCCTGGTTACTATATTGCAAGTGGCAACCAGACTGCAGTCTGCAATGCCAAAGGACAGTGGGATGTTACTGATTTGGTGTGCAAAGGTAAATCAAATCTGCCTTCAGATTTATTTAGCGTAGATACTGTTTCAGCCACCATAATAAATAGAGTCATCAAATAGAAACATCTTCAGGCATTCAGTTTATATAGTGTTCTGGTATACGAAGCTCAGTCAGAAAACAAAAGCCATATATTAAACAGGTTTTTTTTAAAATCTGTGTTGCTAATGAAGTTGTAATTAACTGTTAAAAGTTAACCTTCTAAGGACAAAATCCCAATGCATGTCAGGCATTGGGATTTCCATGAGATGAAAATTCAGCCGAAATTGCTGCTATTTTTCTAGCTCAATACCTACTCTGTGGTTGAAGCCACTACTCAGAAATTGAACCACTACTAGCAGTTAGCATCCCCTTAAAATTCCCATTTTCAGACAGTTTCCAGTTGCAAACTGATTGTTCAAGCATGCTATTATTACTTGACATGAGTCATAAATCCCTTTTGTTACTATGATTTGGAAGAACATAGCCTAACAACTTCCTTGATAAGAAGAAACACAAAGGTATATTTAAAAAAAAGTATTTTGCCCAACACAATTCACACTGTATTGTTACTCTGAGCTAATGTTATTAATTAATGTGACCTCAGGATAATTGGTCTTTAGTCAGTTTTTACATTGGCACAACTTCACTTTGCCATTCACTGGATGATTAATCTCTTTTCAGCTTGATCCAGCAGGGTTGAGTCTTCTGTTCATTGCAATCAAATCTAGTAATTTTTTTGAATGTGCCATGTCTATGTCACAATCACTCTCTACTTTTAGAATTTTCTTTAATATTCTTATTCTGGGACACCAGTCTATATAGAAGGTTTGCTGTGTTACACAGAAATGTACTTCTGCATTTCTGCTTTTCAGTCTGATTACAGGATGCCCACGGGCAGATAGCTGGAGTTAAGCAGCAGTAATTTTTGTATCTCATCACATACTGTCCTTCTATAAGTTAAGTATATTCTCTGCATGTGCATTAGTTATTCTAAAGCTTGTTCTGATGATTTATAATAGATGCGTACATTCATACACATTGAGATATGAAAAGGAAGGTAGTCATGATGGTGGATGTATTGCCCATTGCAGTACATATATTTAACTTCTTTAGAGGTTGTACAGGTCATGATTCTATACACTTAGTTTTTCACTTCTTTGTTTTCCTTTTATTGAGCAGAATTTCAGAATCACTTAAGATTATTTATTTAACAGTTTTAAAAGCACTTGTTTTCTGCATATAAGCTTTAGTGAAGGTAAGATTTTAATCTTACATTGTTTTCTTCTTATAAATGAAGTGATGCAGAATCTTTTATTGGGGTGTAACGTTCATTGTAGATTTCAAAGGGAATTTTAACCCTAAATAATATTCTTGCATTGATTTGATGTTCACTCTTTATTCTTTTTTGTTCCCTAATTTTATTATGAAGCCCCTGAAAACAACTGAGCAAGTGAATTAATTTATAAGTGCATTAGCCCAGCTTTCTAATTATCTCTAAAGTGGTCTGAATAATCCATCAGATTTTCCCCTAGAAGTGCTCTTTCTGCTTATCTGTAGCAGCTTCTCCTTTTTGAATTAAAAAGCTTGAATTAAATCCACTGGCAAAGGAACATAACCTTTTTGATGCTGTTCTTCCATGTCACTCCTTGGATCATGTGTTGTTTTTCAGATCTATTGTTACTAATGATAGGTAAAATAAAGGAATAAATAGCCTGTGGGGTGTAAGAGGGTGTTGTGGTAAGATAGATCCACTTGTAAAAATTTGCTTAGAGATACTTGTTCTCCATTTCTGAACAGGGCACTGTCCTATTTTATGGTTCATTTTGAAGGATAAATGCCCCACCCTGCTAGAAAGTCTCCAGTCATAAAATTCTGGGTTCTAAATGTCTGGCCTGGCTTCTAGAAATCACTAGGAAGTGAAAAAAAGTGAAGTGTTGCTTGCTGGGACAATTAATCTTTCTTCCTTAAACACTTTGATATGCCTTGCCTGTTTTCATTTTCAGGTTTTGTTATCCATTTTTCTGTTTCAGAAATAGACTGTGGCAAACCTTTGGTGATTCCACACACAGAAATGATCTGGCACAACTCTACCACTCTATGGAGCAGAGTGTACTATCGATGTAAAGAAGGATATTATTTTAATGGAGACAGGAATTTTTCAGAATGCACAATAGATCAGTCATGGGAGAATATTACATACGTATGCAAAGGTAAATATTACTGTAGGAAATTGCTATGGGGTGTGCTGTTTAAACAGTTTCTCATTCCTGTTCTGAAGGTAGGAACAGGAGGAAGGAGGAAGGCAAGAAATCCCTTTCTAATTTACGATGTAGGGAACATGGTGGTACTTTTCAATGGAAAGGTCATGGAACAGAATGTTAACCATGCAGCAATTTCTAGTGGGTGCCACAGATCTTTCTGTAGCTGCCTTGCTTTTTTATTTCAAACAGAAAGGGACTAAAGCAGCTGGAGTTTCATTGCTGCACTGAGAACCTTCAGCTTTAAAAGACAGGGGAACATCACCAGATGAGCAGAAGGCATTTAACAACATTTTGCTGTAGGCCTAATACTATAAAGTGCACTGTGATGAAAGAAAGGCAATGGAATTCAAAACTCCTTTCTTTTTAGTCTCTCATAAGGCCCAAAGTAACATTTGTTCATGGTCGCCTTTCCAGCCTAGATCTAGTTGTCTGAATTTCAGTTCAGAAGGATTTTCTTATAAAAGAATGAGTCCTGAGAAGGGAGATCTGTAATGGAGGTGCTGTCATTACTCTGGGCTTGGAGACAGGATGTACTGATATTTTAATAATAGCAAAAAAACAGTAACAGATGTTTTGGACTATGGCTGTTGTGCTCCTTATTGTTCTTCTGTGTCCTTAGAAACAGGTGTCACAAGATAGCTCTACAACTGTCCCTCTCTTGTTCTTAAGTAGCAGTGCTGTCTTTTGCAGATGGTAATGTTCCTGTAGCTTTGTAACATCCACATGTTTTTCAAAAGGACTGAAAGTGTGTCTTTGACTGCTATCACTTCACAGATCAAGCCTTTACACAGAGTTGCCACTTGTTGCCTCTCTTGCCTCACTTGATGTCTTGAGCATTCACTGAGATTATAAAACGTGACATCAAATAAAATGAGCATGCAGAAAAGCAGTTCTCTCACTTTTTATAGTGCCCTAATAAAAATGGGACTGCTGTTGTCAGAAGTCAATTCATATTTCATTTAGGCAATTTGCATAGCTGTACTTTCTGAATTGGTTTTGAAACCAGCATTGTGCAGAGTGGCAAAGTTAATCAGGTGTGTCAGTTTTTGCAATGCCGAGAGTTCTGTCTTGAGCACCCTGAAGCTTTGAAGGGCCTGAACCTGCAGACTGCACTCAGAGGATTACCATGGATTTCAGTAAGAGCTTTGCCAGAGGCAAAAATGTAGACTCCAGCTCTAGCTGTTGGCCAAAAAAGTTAGAGTTACGGTCAAGCAGAATGGAAAAAAACTTTTAAAAAACAGCCTGACTAATCCAGGCTCCTTTGAAAAAAAGATCATGAATAGGAAATTAGTACAACTGTCTTCAGCTTCTTAACTTGTACATTTTTCACACTTACTGGAGGTAACAAATGACTCTCAAAGGAAATGACATTTCTGTTTCAGTAATGGTGCCTTTCAGATGTATATGATCTTAAGGGTGTATGTAATTAATCAGTAATTCCCATGAAAATGAGAGAAAAAGCATGTACCATTCCAAAATAACTTATGACAGAAGTCAGAAAACCATTTGTCTTTTCCTACTGCCTGAAAAACCTTATCAGAAGTAAGGGAGTTAAAAATTTCCCCTGACAATGTTCCTTTTGGCAAATAATCACTTCTTTTCTTAGACAGTGATTACTGTGGAATGCCCTTTATTTGCGTTGTCTGTTGGGGTATATAGTAAAGCTCTGTGTGTGTGTGTGTAAATAAGTACGTTTAATAGTAGCTCGTTTAAATACTAAAAAATTGCTTAACAAAATGAATTTTACTGAGAGATGCTGATTGGATTAAGCCAGTCTGGCAATAGTCAGCTGGATTACAGTCTTCCTTTTCCAACCCTTGATTTGTATACATAAACTCAAGAGACTGAAGTGCAGGGAATGTACCAGCAATTAAATATCTGCTGTCCAATATGTTTAATGTGTGAGCCTGGACGTCCTGTACATCTTTTCCTGGAAGAACTTCTTTTTCCCCTGCAGAGTAGGAATGTGTGGTTTCATTTCTTTTCATTGCAGAAATGGTGTGCTGTTATTCCAGGCAAAAATTGTGTTGAGCTGTGGTGGGATTTCATGGTAAAACTGGGAAGTTTTTTTCAGAGTAGAAAACAAGACCCCGTTGTGGGAATAATGTTTCAGTTTGTTTCAGGTAAGGGCTTTGGATATATAGAGCACTATAGCATGCAGTGGTGGAATACAAGACAGTCTGAAACAAGAAGCTTGGTTTTCCCATTGTGACTTTCAGAGGAGAAATTGTCAGCCTGAGCCTTTTTGGTAGTAATATTTTTCTTACCGAGAGGTTGTTCTGGTGTGAGCTCAAAATGGGACATAAGGTAACATAAGACTTACAGTTGCATTTTTTTATCAAAGTGAAAAATATAAAATGAAGCCTTCCCACTCACGTTTTTCTTTTTGAGTGGATTCCACAGACAAGGGATGGTTTTTTTCTTTATCATGGCTGTAAGAAGGCCAGAAAAAAAGGTGATTTGTGCCTCAGCTGTCTGAGATGCTTGTTCCTAAATCTGCACTTGCAAGTGTCACAGTGTGCAATGTGTATCGTGACCCGTTACCAAGTCCATGAAGAGTATCATTTTGAGAAGGGCAGGGAGAGGAACTGGAGAGTGTCTGAAATGAAAATGTGTAAATGAGTTGGTTTGTTTTTCATTGAGCTTGGATACAAATGTTTGGTAGTAAAAGGTCAGGAAGGGCTAACACAGCTGCTGAGGTAAAATCTTTTCCCTTTGTAATATGTGTAGATTGTGTGTGTGCATGCATGTATACACATACATACACACAGAGCTTAACTTTTGAGAACTTACTACTTGGGCATCCAGGGAAAGGTAAAATGAGTTATGGTGAATAGGGTGCTTATGGGGTTTCCTTGCTCTTAATACCATGTGCAGCTCAAACTTTTTTTGGTACTTTTTCCAGTCGTCTTCACAGTTATGAAGGAGTCGGTTCATGCACAAAAGGGGCAGTGTCTATTACAGTTTTCTGTGCTTATTGGATAACTGTTACGGATATTTTGGAGGGAAGTAGTCCCTTTACCTACTGCAGCTCTCTTCATCCTGTTTGCAGAGTACTCCCTTCTACTATTCATCAAGCTTTATACAATTTCCTAGTCCCAAGTCCTAGAGATATCCTTGTAATGGAGAGCTTTTTCACAGTATCTGGTCTATCCTTTTCTGTAACAATTGGCTCTAGTCCCAGCTATAAGCACATAGGTTGGGTTGGCTGCTACTCATTATTCTGAGCCTAGAAAACTCTTTCTCTACATCTGTTTTCTTTAGAGATTGTTAGTGTTCAGTGTAGGAGATTGTTAGTATTCAATGTGTTTAGAATTTATTTGTGTGGGTAGCAACAATATGGTCTCTTAAGAAAGACAATCTGTTTGTCCAATTTTCTTATTTTTATCCAAGGAAAAGAAAATACAAGTCTGCATTAAAGAATAACATCTTGGTATTCAAATAAGTCTCCAGTACCACTATTCACTATATTATTAGAGATGCATTTATTAAAGTGTTTTTTGATGTATTAGGTGAAATACTGTTGTTGCAAAAGGAGCAACTGCTTCACATGGGTGGAAAAAGTCCACGGATATGTAAAAAGGCTGGAGGAGGGAGTGAGTCTGACCTGTGTGGAAAGGTAATACGCATTATTGGTAAAGCATTCCAAAACTCAGGCAGTGGGAAATAGCTGTTGTAGTCAGAAGGGAAAATTGACCTCTGTGTTCCTTTAATGCTGAGCCTGACAGCACAGCAATCTTACTGGTCGGTTGTGAGAGCCCTCCAAAGTAGTGTTGGGTGCTAAGGGCTGTCAGCAGATTGTAGGCTTCGTGTGCATGGTGTATAGAGGAAGAGATGATCCAGTCCCAATGTACTGTGAACCTGCAACTCAAATAGGGAAAAAATCATTCTTCACACCAGTGCACATCCCGTCTGATCCTAAGCTTGGAGCTTCTGTGTCATAACCTTTTGTGTGCATGCTCTTTTTTACGTTATCTCTTACTAAATGCAATGTGAACTGTCCGTCTTTCACTAAAGGTTGATTTTCTGTTTCAGCATGCTTCACTTTTTTGTGTTGTGACTCCTCATCCACAGAGTTTAGCTGCATGTCTTGACCTCTGGAGATTTTGTTGAGATTATCATGCGGAACTTGGATGTTATGGTAGTGAGGAGTACCTTCAAAGCATCAAGAGAATAAGGTGTTGGTTTTGAGCCATTTCCCAGAAAATGGGTGTTGTATGCCAGGACTGAAAATCCTAACCACTGAAGGGGATGGAGGATACTTGCTAAATACATGTTTCAGCAATTTGAAGGTTTAGAAGGAAGAGTGTTTGATGAATCAGGGAAGAGAAGGCATAGCATATTGCCCACACTGTGCACTTTAAAACATTGCAGAAGAGGAAAAGAATACTTTCATAATGCAAAAAAAACCCCAAACCCAAACCTTGAAAAAAATCAAAAGCAAAATATGAATCCAGTCTGGAATAAACAGAGCAGGATCATCCTTCAGGTGTCATTTAACTGTAGACCTATAGCAAAGATAATTCCCATGCAGCTGAGAGGGTCTAGTTACTTTCTTTTTAATCCAGACTTGTTTTCCCTTTTCTTTCACTTTTCCTTCTTCTCCTATGCTTTATCCCTATTCCCAGTGACTGATTTCCCCTCTAGCTGGGGGAGATCTCTCTGCGATGTCAGTTTTTACATCCTGACTTGTACAATAAGAGGTGATACAGAAAGGCAGCTGCAATGTTTCTGTGGTGGCAGTGTCAGTAATTTCCACACAACAATGAATGGCTTAGCTCTCACTCTCCTAATTTTTGTTCCCAGACGTGTAAATAACTCATGTCAACAGTTATGAGCTTAATAGCAAAGATGTCACTCACATCTGTGGGCATTGATTCAAAACCTATGGTTCTGTAGGAATAAGAACCCCATCAAACAATTAGGATAATTATAGTCATCAATTAAAA